TTGTGCTTTTGTAGTCATTGCTCGGACAAAAGGAACGCGAGCGTGAAAAACGCTCGAAAACGCAGCGCGACGATGACATTCTTCGGCTACGTGCCGTCACATAAGTTCCCCGTTTGCTTTTATTGCTCCGCACCAACCTAAGTACAAACGTGTGCGCGCAGAAATCTTATAATAATACTTGCACTCGGCGTCGTGAACTTTTAATGCGCCCGCCACTATTTCTCCATTCCACATACTCGCGTTTTCCGCACGCTTTGGATGAACAAACGTTCGCGCGACACGCGAAAGCATTAAAAACTAATGGAAACGAACGCCTACACACTGAGAAAGGTTTTTTAGGGGATGGGAAGCCTAGTAAGTGCGTTTTGAGAGGGTAAATTATTCGTATTTACACTCAGACTTAACATCTTACAAAGATAATCCACAAATAGTGAAAAAATATTTAAAAACTAAAAAAATATCGGTAATTATTAAATTGTTGCAATTTCCGGCTGTATTGTTCGAAGTTTACGCTCGGGTAACTTTTAACGCGCAAAGTTGTAACTTGTAACATGAAACTGCGAAATGGAAAAATTGAAAAAGATTTCCGGGCTTTTTTTCGCCTATGTAGCACTCTAAAAGTTCAAACTGAAGTTAGCCACTTCTTCAAGTATGATTCTTTTTGTTTTTGTTTTTTACTTTGCTTCCTTGGACAACAAAATTGCGTTAAGACCAACTTATCTCACAACATTTATAATATTGTTAGTTATTGTTAGTTGGCGCAGAAATAAAATAAAAGTATACATAAATCCAATTTATTTGTAGCGTGTAAATTGCAAAATAATAAATGGTTGCAAAACCGAAACAATTTACACTGCAGTGCAATTTGTAGCGCAAATTATTTTGCGAATAAAGTTTTTCAAGTGCATGCACGATAAATAATAAGCTGTCTGGCTGTCAAATGCTGGACTAAATCATATTTTATACTAAAAATATAAAAATTTTAGTTTTTGTGTTGCAAAACGCAATTTTTAATTTTTGGAGTGTAATTAACCCAGTCTATCGTTATCGCGCGTTATACGTCAATACACTTTACATTCCCATTTCACGCCGAAGTGCATAGGCGCTGGGTCGCTGACGAAATCGATGGAATGACGTTATTCACATTTCCGTTATCCTTCTGCGTTTCGCAAACATTTTCGCACTTGAACCACACCAGCACTCACCATTCGTGGCTCTTGACTTCCAATTCACCAACCTTCAAATATTCCAAACGTGCACGATATCTGATTACCTATATTTCAGATTCATCACCAATATTAACTTCGAAAAGTCTTAAATTTAAAGATATGTGTACATTGGGCGGATCAATAGCAACAAATCATTCGATTGTGGTAGAGCCATTTGTTATCTTTGGCTTATTGCGAGCAAACAAAGGCGAGTCGAATTTTTAGTTTATTTCCATTGGCAAGGCGCACAGCGTCCTAGAATCGAACAATTTGCTAATGTAACAACTAATAACATTGGATGCGGACATGTTGACTCTGACAAATGAAATTGATATTAATGTTTGCTTCAATTGCAATTATTACAACGATAACTCAATCAAAATACGATTATTTCCTTTATATTCTTATTTATCTTATTTTGAATAAATTACACGTGCGATACACGTAAATTTCACGATAAAGGAATTAACGCTCGATTTGTTTATTCAAAAATTACTATTCACCGTCAAGTCATCAGCGCGCGTCGAAGCGCCGCCGACATTAATCAACGTCATTAATTTTTCCTGTACGCCAAGAGCGCGCGATGAATGTGTAATGCTTTAATACGCTGAGGAGCGCCGAAAATCCAGACGAAATGTCGAAGGAAACCCGGAGACCTTGCGAAATTAATTTTCCACCACACAAGGTTATATGAAATGGAAATCACGAGAATCATCCAAGGGTGGATTTCACACCAAACAAAAAAAAACACGAAAAAAACATTAATAATCTGAATATCTGCAGGGCTGATATAAATTAAACCTAATACCAAAAATAAATACGTTGTAAATTGTAAATGGACATAATTCAGGATAATGCACAATAAGAAATTAAAACCTACGCGTTTGACCTTTCATCCTTTAAGTGTGACGTCACAATGTGGAATTCTACGTTCTACATTTTCATTTTATGCATTTTGTGACGTCAAATGAAGAAAACTACAACCTTTGTTCTTTAAATTTGTGTTTTGTTTTGTTTTTGTGTGTTATCTTTATGTGAATGACGTCAATTCATTTTTTTAGGTTAGAAAGGGTAGATCTAAGTTTAAAACGAAAGCTTTTAATCAGTTTTTACCACGTTTCTTGCCTGCATCCAAAAAAGTAAATTGGAAGGATCCCGGACTGTTTTCACGTCTCTTTTTTCTGTGTAGTTGTTTAAAGTTTTTGCATTTTGCTTACGTCTTCATGCAGCAGCTTGAGCATTTTTTACAGTGTGTTTGTACTACACGGAATAATTCTAAATATAAACACGTTTTCTATTTTTAGAATAATCAGACGCCAAGGCACAAAATTGAGTTTAATAAGTTTTGGCCGCTTCTTTCGCAAACAACCGGCGCCATATTGGAAATCTTCGCCAAGGCGTGTGTATCGAAAGTTTCCTCGGAACTTTGTGTAACGTTTTCTACTTTTAACCGCACGTATGTACAACATACAAGCCCATCGACCACACGAACAATCGCTTCATTGCTTCGCATTCGCATAAAACTTAAGTTGTGCGCTTGTACTCGTAAGTCTAGTACTGGTACCAGTTGCGTTGATCCTTCATTTGCAAACAAAGAGGCAAGCGCTCAAACTTTCAACGTCACAACCCGGTGATTGCTAACTTCAAGTCAAACACGAACTTGCACAGAATGACTGACGTGTAATTGGGGATTGATGCGAAAGGGCGAACTTTGCTTTTAATTAATGGAATTTACTATATGCAACTGCATATACAAATCAATACACCTAAACATAACCTAGAAATATTATAATATAAAAAAAATAACCGAAGGTTTTTTTTTGTTTTGATTGTTATGTAAATAAAGAAGAAAAAAATTACTTGTAAATGATCGCTGACAACAAAAAGCACAAAGCAAAGATATCGCCAGCTATTACCGAAGAAAAGAAGCCACGAATAAAAACCTCTGTTTACATTTACTCCCCGCGAAAATTCCGACAAAGCGTGCCTGAACAAACAGACTCATCATCCTTTTGTGGATGAGTAATTGTTGTAATTTATCATTACAACTTCCCACGTTCCACAATACCTACTCATCTTTCTTTACCTTTTCTGTGATTATTAATATCTAAGACCGAAATTAAAATATGTTAATGCATCTTAAACAAAAAAAACAAAAAAGATTAAAATAAAAAGATTTTTCAACGAATTAGTTATAATTATATTTATCCAGTCGATAGACTCGTTTGTTATCGTCCACGGACACGTGATAAGCAATAAATAACAAAAATTATTTACGAGCGTATTACGAAAGCCCGAATTCCGGCGAAGAACATTTATAACGAGCGCATCATCCAACAAAACGCAACCATTATAAATCACGTCAATGTCGACGTCCGTGATTGCGTTTTAACAAATGCATTCGATTCATTTATAGCAATTGGTTACATCTATTATGTCATTTATTCAGAATTAAGTACTTAAGTGAATTAATTTAAAGAATAGTTCGAAATTAATTAAATTGCGGCGTGACACGCAAAGCGTCGTGCACAAATAAGGCGCATTGTAGTTAACGAAATTAATAAATGAAACGTTCTTTGACAAAGACTAAAGAAAGCCACGTGCAAATAGAGCTCAAGGCAACACGTAAAGAAAATGCAAATTTCCAACGCGCGACAATAATTACACAAAGCAAAGTTTTTCATATTCCAGTATTACACAATTATATTTTAACTAGATTTTAATTATAGTTTTAATTTAAGTCGTAGAAATAACATATTCTAGGGTTTAGTAGTCGGTTAATTAGTAATTTAAGTTTTCGCTACCTAAAAACCTATTTTACTGGGGAAAATGAAAGGGTTGGTCATCAGTATTTCCAATATTACTCCCTGGAAACGAATCTCCGTTAATCGTGTTCGCTTGGAGTGCGAGGAGAGTGTAAATTTGGGTTCGGTGCGGAGTTAGCAGACTTAAAATCTATCGGGTGCCAATGGTGCCGTTAGTTACATCCAAGAGGACTACTTCAAGGATAGTGGTCAATTATCCCTTAATTCTCATTAGAGTGGACTAGGTCTGGGCATTTCAAGTTAAAATAAGTAAAAAGGGACTAAAAGCTTGAGAATTACATAAAATTTAGTTTTATGCGTTATCTCCTGGTGAGTAGCTAGTGTAAAATACAAAATAATAAAACAGTTTTCTATTTTTATAAAAACTAAAGTAGGAAATATTTAGTACTGCTGTATGCCGTTAGGTGGCGTTAGTAGTACTAAATTTAATATAAGATAGCTATGTAAAGCTTTTTTTGGTATTTGTCAGATGGCGCTGTGTGTTTAAAGCGCCGCGACGGTGACTAACGTATTACCGGGCACCCCTTGACAATCCCCGGCACCCCTCCCGTTCGCGCGCATTTTCGCCACTCTATTAGACTGAAAAAGGGTGCGCTGGGTGTGTTTGCGACACGATTATGGATTCCCTTTGACCTCGAGTGTTGTATGTGTGTATTGCACGACTGTGGAGCGCAAAACAGTAAGGCACGGCGCGCCGGTTCCGTTCCGTTGTTCCGCACCATTCTTCGCCGCACCGGAACACACAAAACATTCTCATCCACATTCATTCATTCACGTCCATCGCGCGCAGCGCACACTCGTCAAGTGTCGCGTTATTAAACGCCCGCTCAAATTAAAATCGTAATTAAAGTGCGAGAGGTTTTCAATTAAAAACATCGACGGTGGCCGTTAAACGACTAGACAAGTAAACTGCAGGTAGAAGTGGAGAGGTAATTACATTCGGTCGGTTACGTCACCTGCGCTGTGTGTGTGTGTTTGTACGGCTGGAAAGTAAAGTTTTTACCATAATTTTGCATTCGCGTAAAGGCGTAAAACACCAACGCGCGCGCGCGGCCGCTCACGAGGTGAAGCAAAAGGTAAACGCAACCGAGGAGTACGACGCCCGGCTGCACGTAACCATGGCGTGCCATTAGGATTTCCATTTCCAGCGGCTCGACGCCAGCCAGCCGGTAATATACCCACACACCGACCAGTCGATACACCACATGCAAATCGCGAACCGCAAGAAAATTCGATGCACATTTCAATCTCCAACTCATCACCATCTCCAAACATTAAAAAAACAAAAAAAACTCAAGTGAATAAAAAATTTAAAAACTAAAACAAACAGCTGTGATATTTTACTAAATACTAAAGAACCAGTGCGTGTATTAATTAGCATCAAGACTGAATTAATTACTAAGTGAATGTTATCCACTGCCAATTTGTGAAATATTCAATATTTTACCGTGTATGGCCTCTGGAAGGGTGGAGGAATACAAAAAACACTCAATGTCAAAACAACAAAGATAACACAAGTGATAACAGCTTATCGCGTTGGGTAATTATACAATACACTTAATACACCTGTCTCGCAGCGAATTTTTACAGTTTGCGAGGTGATATCTGTGCGTTCCGAACGTGAAATTCAATAAAATCTAAATATCGTGTATTGATTAGTGTGCTGTGTTTAATCATGACATCGCTAGATAACGGCATTACTGTAGAAATGCCGCAGTGGAAGCGCGACCTGATAATGAGACGTCGGGCGCAAGCACAAGCACAAGCAGAGACATCGCCATCAGTCAATAAACAGCTGGACAGGGTCTGCTGCTGCCGAGGAGGAGGTGTAGTAGGAGGAAGTAGTGGTGGAGGTGGTGGCGCGTCGGTCGCGGTCGGTTGCCGGCCGCCATTAGGCCATCAACCTACCATCGGCAGTGTGATCGCGAGCGGCAAGAGTGAAACGCGTGCGTGTAGCTGCTGCTCCCCATTGACGTTCGGTGCTGTTAGTTCGTCGTCGCCGACCACGTGTTGCGCCGACACCGTCGACATGGTGCATCTGCACACGGACAGTGACTCCTCGGAGGAGCTAGCGTACGGTCCCGGTATTGTCAGTAAACTGAAGAATCGTTATTTGAGTCTGACCCTTCGTGAAACTGTCATCAAGCGACGACCTTCGATTCTACGCAAAGCGACATCATTGGAGAATTTATTGGATGAAGATGTTTATACGAATGATAGTAAATCCGGGTCTGGGCATGGGGATCAGGATGGCGAGAAGCAGTCAGCGCGGTTGTACGAATCGAGAACGAACGGGACCAACGGGAATGTGAAGAATGTCCCGTCGTCGAACCGGTATCGTGGCGCGACGCGCGGCAGCATGAAGCGAGCGCGTTCGGTCGAGGCCATTTCGCGCATCTACAGCCCGAAAGGGGACCCACCAACGGCCCCAACGCAGACCCAAACCCAACCATCAAACAACAGACCAAAATCCATGCATGAAGAACTCAATGGCACCTTCGCCATCAACCCAATCATCACACCACGCATGAATAAACCCAAGAGATTAACTCCTGTGATCACAGAGAAAGAGAAACCACCTGCTGATGTGGTCAAGCAAGCGAAGAAGATATTCGAAACCCGCCCGGAGAGTCGAACCAGACCTCCACAGCATACAGGAGAGGTTGCCGCTAAAGTAGCCACCTATAAAACCATCATTATACAAACCAAACAGGCGAACACCATCACAAGTAAACCGCCGATAAAACAGAAACCTGTAATCCCATGCGCAGAGGAACCTTTACTAACCCACAACATCACACTGCGGAAAAAACCTACAAAGTTAAACCTAAAGTCTTCCAATAACACCATGACCTCACCATTGACATCTCCAAATGGTAATATTCTTAGTCCCACATCAAATGGTGTGATCCAAAGCCCTCTGAGTCCTCCAGTCATCACCCCGAAAGCCCTACAAAGTCCCATCCCGGATGTCTCTATGGTTATACAAGAGGAAGAGGATAAAAAGACTTCGTCCCTATCGGAGACACCCGATTTGATTCTCCATTCTAGTCCAGTGCATGTACAAAAAGAGAAAGAGAAGGAAAAAGAAAAAGAGAAATTTGATAAGGAAAAAGATAAAGATAAAGAAGTGCAACCCGTGATACACCCCGAACCAGAGCTCAAAAAATCCAAGACAGAACCATTGACGCTGGACATCACCACGTACAAATCACCCGTGAATAATCGCGATCCGGTGCTGGTGTTATCACCGCGCGAAATCGAAAAGAACGCCATCAATGCCGCGTGCAACGGTGTTACGAAACCAGTCGTACCTAATGTGATAAACAACAGTCTGCCGCCACTTCCGGCCGCGCCGCCGGTGATAACCCGCACGAAGGAAGTTGTGGTGGAGGCGCCGCCGCCACCCAAGGCGAAAACACGCAAATCCAAGCAAAATCAGCAATCTGCTGAAGCTTCTTGTATTGTTTTTAACTTTTCTGATAGAAAAGACGTGCCGGATTATATTGGGAACGATGGATGTGTACGGACACAACATATTCCTATGCCAAAGGTGAGTTTTTTCAATTTTGCAAATTTTTGAGGTTAAGTAATAATGCATTTTTATTTCCACTTTTTCTCTCATGCAACTTGCGTTTTTCTTAGTTTTCTATTATATTACATCGCGTGTGACTCGCACGCAATCGGAATTCTTATATTTTTATACTGTATGTGTGCGCAACATAACCTACTTTATGCTTATTCAATAATTGCATATAAATTTTTATTTCATGCCGAAAATCCGTTGGAAAATACAATTGACGCAGTCAAACATCAGATGTGCTTAAAAGATTAGATAATTTATGATTGTGATAACACACCTTTGTGATAAGAGCAAAAACGTTTAACTTGTCAACGGATATTTGTATTATGCATACATTTTGTGTGAATCATGCAACGGAACTATTCGTTTTGTCTTGTGACTTGTGACAAAAACAATTAACAATGTTTTGTTAATATCGAATGTAATGTGTGATTAATTCGATTGCGCACACGAAAGAAATGACATGACTCAATTTATTAGTGTTGTGATTGCAACAATCGGCACGCAATAGCAATAGTTTCGCTTTTGTTTCGTTTGTTATTAGCGCCGAGGTGCGTGACTCCGTGACTCATTAATCGAGCTATTAGACAACGCGCGATGTGTGATTTAATTTAGCAAATTATGTTATGATTGAATCCGTACGTGTAGTAAAAGTTTACGACGCGCAAATTGCGTTTTCGCGAAATTACAAACTGCCAACACACTATATAGGCAACACACACAACACAAAACATAAAAGAAGTAATAAAATAATAGATTAATTGATCAATGTAATGTTTTAATATATGTACTCGTAAATATATTGCAGGGGTCATTGATACCCTCTGTAGGTGATTATCATAACTACATAACTGAACTGAAGCCATGAAATGAGACAATCACGGAGATTTGTCTCCGAGTTGTTTTGCGTGATTCATGATATGCTATGCTAGGATGGCTTCCTGACCAGCGCATATGTCACATCACGGCGCCATTTTGTATTGTGCGCATGTGGCGCGACGACAATAACATGCGAGTGCCGTTGCTTCGCTTGTAATTGCTGTCAAAGTGAACGCGCTGAAAACGAGCCGAAACGAACGGTTCTCATCCCATGAACTCACAAATAGTCATTATGTACAATACATGGAAAGAATCAACATATTTCATCATGGTTTCAGTGGAAATTCAATTTAGATTGATTGATTGTACAATATATTGTGCATATAAGTTGAAAATAGACTCAAAAATATTAATTTTAAGCAAAAATAGAGAAAAACTTAATTTTTCATTAATTTTGAGGAGAAATTCAATTTTTATTGATTGATTGTACAATATATTGTACAAACAACTTGATCACAATCTCAAAAATGGTAATATTTCATTAAAATACAAAAAAACTTAATTTTTCATTAATTTTCGGCAAAAAAATAAATTTTTATTGATTGATTGTACAATATATTGACCAATCAAACTGACCATAACCTCACAAATACTTATTTCCCACAAAAAACACAATTTTCATTAATTTTTCACAAAAATTCATTTTTTTTACTCTGATTGTACAATATATTGACAAACCATGTTTATAACACTCTGTATATGATACATTTAAATTGAAATTTATTCCTGCCAGCTGCAGATAAACAAAAAGCGCGTCGGATGTTGTGATACACAAATCCACGACCCAGTTTTTAATTTAATCGAATTAATAACAATAATCCGGCGCATCAATCATTCCACACGCACTTCGTAAAATCATTTCCATTGCTTGACTCACGAAACTAGTCAGAGCGTCAGCAATGAACAAATATTTGCAATATATTTCTACAGTTAATGATTCACAGCATAACTCGAAAGTTATTTTCACGCTTCATCAGCGTACACCAAGCATTTGTATTCTCTTCATGAAGAGAAGAAGTAAGCGTGTGAAAATTGAGGAATTTGTGCTTTACGAATCACTATGAAACGAATTTCTTCAGAACTTCTTGCATTATTCTGCAGTATTTTGCATCGCTAATTGGAAATTGCGATTTTCCGCTGTTTGCACGTCGCGCATTATTTTACACTTATAATTCCAGCGGGTTGAGTTATAGACGGATTAATATAGTTTGAATTTCAAGCGTTTATCCACGAGAGAAATAAATATGTGTATTAAGTTCAGATTAGATTAGCGCGTTATTTGAGCGTAACCGTTTCGACTTATCGATTTTATTTCTAACGTTTTATTTAAACGAGTTATGGCGAAATGTATTTTGCACTTGTTCCACTTTATCTGCTTTATAGTTTAGATTAAGTTTAAAATAAAAAAAATTAAAATTTTAATTTTAAATTTTTTTTTTTTCAGGCTGGTGAAGGTGGAATTACGTTATTACCAGGATCAACCCGACAGGATTACTTTGATGAAGAGGAATTGAGCCTGGAAGGACCTCCAAGTCCGTGTGACGTGTCGTTTATCAATGATAACGTGTTAATCGATGGAAAATCTAGTCTTAGTAAAAAATCCAAGAAATCAAAGGTGAGTTATTTTTAAAATTTTAAAATTTTCACAAAACTTAAAAATTTATAGTGCAGTGAAAGACGGAAGCGATGATAATAATTGCATTGAATTTTATTTACTCGTATCTTCATCCTACGCGAGATATTTGGCATTTTAACACACCTACAGTAGTTAATTTTAACATATTGCACATAGCAACAAGTGAAAATTGAAAATTAAATATCATCTTCACGTATTTGTTATTTTAGAAACTAAATAACTAACGGATTTTGCAAATATTTAGAACAAATTTATTTTAACACATTTTTTCTTTTTTAGTTTAGTTTAAATTTAGGTTTGAATTTATTTACTTTATTTACTTAAAAGTAACTTTTGAATAGTAGTACTCGTACTAAAATGCTCTAATAATTTATCGTTTCACCGTTGCTTTCGGCGTTCTTTTGGAGTTAAAAATTTTCGGGGTCTTGGGCAAGGCTAACACAATTACGAAACAAAACTTCTCGAGTAGCAGCGCTGCGCATTCATCGAACACATGTCGGATGGCATCACATCACACATGGCATTGCCCGCGGCTGTTAATTACCAAACTTACGGCTTGCTTATATAAACACTCTAAACTAAACTCTAGCAAAACAGACACCAAGTATTATTAATAAAGTATTAATAAAGAAAAAACATCTTTTGAAGTGAATTGAAGTTAAGTTTGAAGTTTGGAGTGGAAACTTGAAAAAATATATAAATTTGAGGTTAGATTTTGATATTTTTAAGATTTATTTGTGATACTAGATCAGAGGTATTTTTAATTTTTTATTTGTTAGTTTTGTGTGGTTGTTTGGCGATTTTATAACTCCACATGAAACGAAACTGTATTTTTGTCTGGCAATACGAGTGGATTAATTATATACATTTACAGTTAATCACGACTCCCGGCGTATTATATAATTTATAATGACTCGGAATTATAAATTATAAATTAAAATTATAAACAACGGAGCATGTGATAGCAAAGTGTCGTTACATCCAGAAACAAAAAATAACTAAATATTAGAATTTACGTGGATTGGCATCTGTTTAATCTTTTGTTGCACTGGTTATAAAGCCAATTACTCTTATAAAAATGCCGCTAAATATTTCCTGAACTCTAAATATGAATTCCGCGTCGCTCAGTTGTATTCACTTGTGTTATGTTTAAATGATTTTGTAGTAACGTAACGTGCACCCCAACAAATTAGCTGAAAAATCGTGTTTAAGTTATAAAATATTGCATTGCAATTTGTAGGGATGTTGGGATCATAATTACAACATTATTTCAAATGTTACCATCAATGTCATGTCTATGAAAAAATATTCTAGCTCATAATTGCTTGAAATGAAAATATTTTTTGTCGTTACACAGAGAAACTATAACGTTATAACGAGGACATTAATATAAACCAATCAAATTGTACATATTTTGTCGTTCTACAGAGTTTTTCGTTAAATCAAGCCTACACTGTATTAAATTTTGTAATCCAATGTTGGACTTGCGGTATACACACCGAACATAGGACTGACAATGTAATTTTTATGTTTTTTGTAACAATTTTTCTATTTTCTAACATTTTGCCATCATACACACATTATCGTTAAATAGAATAACGTTATAACGAGTGTACACAATCAATGTCATCATTTTATTTTATTTTATTATAAAAAAATTCAAATAGTGTCAGGTGAAAGTATAAAAGCTAAAGCTGTGCTCCGATGATTACATTTGTTGAAATATATGAATCAATCGAGCGTCACAAAATCATATTCAAGATGGAAATGTTTAATTTAACACCTGGAGAAAACTGATTTATGCGTTGATTAGACGAGAAATTAAGGTTATAATTATATTACCAACGAGTACGTACGTCTAAATTTAAATTTAAATTCCATTTGCAATTTCAAGTTCAAGGTATGTTCTGTTCCTAAGTGTGTCGCGTTGTTGACTATTTAAATAATAAATAATGAATATGAGTGTTTCCGATGCGACATCGATGAATATTTATATATCTACAAGTTTTCCATATTCGATTATTCATTTTACATGAAATATAATCTATAAAATCAATACTTTTGTATTAAAAAAAAGTGAAACATTCAATTAATTCACGCAGGAAGCTTTGTAATAAAATAGTTTTTAGTGAATGTGAATAAGTACTTGTAAGTAAGCAGGTTTGTTTTGCGGTGGAGTGCAAAGTCGAATAGTGTTACGAAAAATATTCGCGGAAATCATTCTACTCACTCTAGCCACCGGCTGACACTTGATATTAATTGCTAGCTTCGTATTACTAAGCTGCAGTATAATTTGTAAGCATAGGAAATTAAAATTCATTAAACGGATTGAATTTTAAGTTCGGAGGAAAAATATTTTAGATTTTTGTGTGTAGATGGCGCTGTAAAGGTGGTAAAGTGCTCATAACCTCGAAAAATTTATATTTTGACAGTTTAGGAATGATTTATGATAGTAATTTGTTATTTTTTGAAGTATAAATAATTAATATTCACAGATTTGGTTTAATTTTGAGCTATTTGCGAAAATCACTTGGATTTTCGTGTGTAGATGGCGTTCTTAAAGTGATAAAATGTTCATAACCTCAAAAAATGTATACTTTGACACTTGGAAAATGATTTATTTATAAATTTCTTACTTTTTATGTCTTTTTACTTGATAAAAGACTCAAAGTTATTAAAAACCAATATTTTCCACTTTTATGTTCACGTTAACGCGGTGTATGATGACACATTAAAACGCAATAAGGAACAACGAACTATTTTGCAATCAACAACAACAATGGTTTCATTTTTCATTAGAAACAGTGTAGAAATCATTCTTTTAGTCTATCACAACAAATGAAAAGAAAGCAGCAAATGCTCTCTGAATACTCGAATTGACGCAAATGACAAAACGAATCAAATCACTTTCTCATTTTTTCCGCTTCGCAAATCCACGCGTTTTTATATTAACAAACAAAAAAATGTCTTTTGAAAAAAAGAAAAATTATGTGCAATACGCTTACTCTTATAATGGTCGACAATTTGAGCGCATTTTCATGCTTTGATGGCTGCGCAGCGCAGCGCAGGAATTTCCGCGATTTCAAGTGCAGCTAGAGAAGAATATGTTGAATATAGTGAAGCGTGTGGTAAGTGAAGCACTAAATTGCATCTGCACATCTGCGCATGCGCAGAAGACGACAGACAACATGACGTCAGTTGGATAGGTAGAATATCGAGGGTCGGAATGTCGTGAACAGAATTTTAGTTTAGTGTAGACTTTAGTGAAAGGAAGATTTCTCCCCTCTTGATGTAATAAGTGCAAATCGCAAATCTTTAGGGAGGATCTTGCTCTTTACTAAAAAGGGGGACGAAGAATATGACTCATAAAAACACATACAATGTGTTTTTACATATAACATCAGTTAAGTTTTATATTTATATTTAAATTTATATTTAAAAATTACTTTTCCTGTTTCCGTGCTGATAAAACAATTTGCATGTGTATATTTAATACTTTCTACACAATATGTACTCGTATGCACTTATGTTATTACTTAAGTGGATATTTGTTCATAAATTATAGTTTTAAACGCAAAAAACAGTATTTTTACACGAAAGGAAAAGTATGGCACAAATTGCAATTTATTGTGTAATTTAATCTCGGCTGCAATTTTACAATTAAACAGAAAAAACGTAAAAGTCGCGAGTTTATGCTTTTTAATTTGTTTTTCATTCGCTGGTGTTATTACGACGAATGATTACAAATTACGAGTACAACAATGATGGTTATTTCAGACGTAGAAAAGACACTTTCTAATTCGCGTCTCATTACCGCTTGATATAAATTTTTATGCAAATCTAAGCACTTTGCACTCGTCATTGTGTTTTTTGTCATTTTAAAAGAAATTAAGATTAATCGCAGCAGATGTGAATGAAAATCTTCAAGAAAACAAAACAAAAAATGCGTCTAAAGAAAAGAAAAGAAAAGTGAAATAGTTAACAATAAAATAAAACTAAACAAAGCACGATTGGTAACACAAAGCGAAAGCAACAATTGATATGACGATTACGCAGCCGAGTATTAACTACGCAGTGAAAATTTCGTGCTTGGCAATTTTCGCCGATTGTTTCCGTCGCTGTGGCCGCAATAAAACCACAAAAACGAGACAATCATCAAAATTGCGTTAGGCAATGATTCATATTCAAATGGATGGAATGAAACAAGTCCGAGGACACTGCACATCAAAACCAGCGACATTTCTATTGTTTTTTTACTCTATTTGCGTATAAAACACTGAATATTCAAATATCCTATGGTTTGATTTGCGGTACAAGTTCCGAACATACAAAATTACATAATAAACAAGAGAAAATAGAAATTTCTGATAAAATATTATATTTATTTATTTATTAATGTTTAAGTGAATTAATTTAATATTAAATTTTTATTTGTTAAATATTATAAATAAAACGTGTATTAAATAACAGTCGATAATTGCGCTTACGTTTTCCTATCCACAAGGAGTAATAATACTTAACGACTCATTTAAATTTCAATGCATTATGCTAATGCTAATAATAGAGTGAAAATAGAGTCGAGTCGAGTATTAATTCATATCATGGCTAGTAAAGCACATACTCACACATATACACACACAACATTTGGTTCACTTGAATCGTTAAAAATTCAGCGTGTATTAATATTTATAATTTGTTGTATGTTTGAATTAATAATGCGCGAGTCGATGCAATAAATTTAGATTGTAATCACATTGAATTTTTAAACGTTTATTGCTTCCGAAGTTGGTTTTATTGAAATTATGCGTAAATGGCTTGCAGGAAGACGGAAAACGTATTGAAATTTATTATAAAAGAGAAAATATTAATTTTTAGTAGAAATAGTTAATATAATTGATGTTTTATGGGTAAATAGCTTAGATTTCTTGGATAGGTGGCGCTGGTAACGTGAAAACATCGTCATAACCTCAAAATTTCAT